ATATATATATATATATATATATATATATATATATTCACAGTTATGTTTGTTATTGTTTTTTTTTTTTTTTAGATATAAGGTCCCACGCGGTTGGTCAATTCTTATAATTTGAGCGAGAACATGTAAGATGAGTGAAGAAGGTAAAAAGAGATGGAGTTTCAGCTTGTCCTAATGTTTCCCTCTTTCTCCTTTTTTAAAAAAAATAAGGACCCTCCCATTTATATGCATCATAGGGCATATATCTTTATTATTGTAGGGCTATAAGAAGAAAATAAAATAAATAATATATTATTGGTCGTGCTAAATAAAACTTATATAAGATTTGTTGTTGAAAAGATATGACCATGGGTGTGATGCAGCTCATATATGGGCATACACAATGATGGGTTCGAGTCTCCGTTATTCTGCCTTCGAGATAACCTTGAAGGATCGGTAAATGAACTCGATAGTGAATCTTGACATGTGCAAGCAAGCTCGACAGATAAGCTTGATTTATATGGGCAAGCTTGAAGGAGGAAATTGACGAGCTTGCGAAAAAGCTCGATAAGTATGGGCGAGCTCAGCGCAGAAGCCTCTGGAGACCTAATGATAGCTATCACTTTGACAAGTACAATCTGTTAACCATAAGCCCATGGTGCACGATATTATTTATATTCCACAAAAGGGGGTCTGAGGAGACCATATTTAATAGGCTCAATGGCCCATTTACGTGTGGGCTTACTTGGTAAGTTTAAGAAGGTCATTTTATATGTAGAATGTGCATATTTGATATGTTTATATTTATTGAATGAGTGTTTCTATATATATAATGAACGATCATTCTTAAAACGAAAAATAAATTTTCATGTATATATTTTTGAAAATTTTACATATATCACATAATTTTTTGTATTTACATATCTATCACCCAATTTGATATTAACATTTATAGCACCTTCATTTCATAAATCTATGGATGAAAATGTATATTTCACCTTTTAAAATTAAATTATAGTGGAATTTTTTATGAGATATTAAGGATTTAATTGTTTTGCATGTAAATATGAATTTTTAGATGTTACATAAGTTAATACAGGAGACTTGTGTGGTATGTTGCTAACTGCTATATTTTAATGTAATAAAGACATTAAAAAAATTAAAAAAAAATGAAATTATATATGATAGATATATAAATATATTAAAATTGTGTGAGATGTAAGTAAAATTTTTAGGGAAATGCACATACATATCACTAATTTTAATTTATTAATAGTTCTCAGATAATAATGATACTAATATTTTTGATGTGATGTTAATAATTTGGGTGTTAAATATTTTACTTCAAAAAAGCGTCAGTGCAGATTCTGACGAGATCCAACGGTCTAAATTTTCGGTGGGGTGGGTGGGATGGTGGAGGGTGGAAGTACAATAAATGAGGGTCAGCTGGCAGAAGACTATGAGGCCCACTTATCTGAACAGTAATAGTCCTCCGAGCCAAAGACAAAGGTTGAAGATGATAGGATAAGACCAAAGAGAATGGTTGATTGATTCAAATCTAAACCAATCAGACTGAAACATGACAGATAAACATCTGAGTTTACCAATACACGAAAGCCAACCGAAGGCATTGACCTACCGTCCTGTAGATTCAATCTGAGCTTATCACTAACCGTCCTACAAACGCCCCCAACACTCCTCATCAAGACCAATAATTGACAGTCCAAAAGAGCATCATAATCATCCCAATGACTCCCCTCATCTAGGAATAAACTACCTATTGTGTTACAGCGATTCACCCACTGCACGATAACCTGATATCTTACTAAAAAGAGCTCTTCTTTTAGGGATTGAGCGCCAATAATATGAGTAGATCAACCAATCTACAAAGTTTAATCATCCGAGTCAATCCTATCAACCTGAAGCTAATCAAGCTCAACTGACATGCAACACTAACTCAACCTAATCAATATGATCGGCCTTGTTGAGCCAAAGCCATAGCAGCTCAACTAGCCAAGTGATAGTATGTATATCTAAATGCCCCCATTTTTTTATTAAAGAAAAGAATATTTTAATACTTTAAAAGGCCCGATGATATTCCAGTCTGCCGCGCACCACGCCAACTTCGTGCGCGCCGACGATGTTCTTCCACTTCTGATTCCCCTACAAAAACAGGGCTTCACCTTCTCCCCCAAATCCCCTCTCAGATGGACCATATCCAGAAGAAAATGTCGATCCGCTTCGCCCGATCCCTCTCCTTCCCCATTCCCACTTCCTCCGAATCTCACCCCACCTACCAAACCCGATCCATTAGCCTTCCGCCTCGTCTCCACCATCGTCGCCCAAATCGAGAACCAGATCGAATCCCTCCAATCCTGGCAGCAAAACCCTATCTCCTCTGCTTCCAGCATGACTAACTCCCTCTCATGGATCGCCGATGGCCTCTCCCGCATCGACCGCCTCCACTCCTCCTTCTCCGATCTGCTCCACCATCCCCAATCCCAAAACCCTACCCCTCTCCGCTTCCGCAGCTCCATCTGGCTCGATCGCCTCCTCGAAGACTCCCTCCGATTCGCAGACGAGCACGGCGGCTTTCGATCTGCGATCATCGCCTGGAATCAGCAGCTCTCCGCCGTACCGCGGTACGCCGGCGAGATGATGCGGCCATGGCTTCCGCCTCCCGCGAACAGAGGAAGACGGAGAAGCAGCTGCTGAAGTTGGCCGCCGAAGCGAGGAGCATTGGGCGGTCGGGTGGTGCGGGGCTCGCGTCGGGGGATGCGGAGTTGGCCGGCGTTGTCTATGAGGTGATTTTGGAAATGTTTGTATCCATAGCAATTAAATAATCGAACTATATATATTCAGTATAGAGGAAAACAAGTTTGATGTGACATCTGGAAAAGCTCTTTTTTTAGTTACTTTAGGCTAATTGACAAAATATTACATGATTTCTTTTTTCTTAAAATAACTAACCCGATAGCTCTACTATAGGAGAAATATTGCACCTGAGTCCACCTGAGTCCACCTGAGTCCGGACTCACCTCTCTATCATGTTCATTGTGTGAGCACATTTATCCAGACTTCGGACATAATATTTTTTCTAATATAGACATATATTTTGGTGGGTTCACTTTTATTCTGATTTTAAAGTTCGTGTCTTTTTATTTATAATTTCATAATCAGACCAAATAGAATATGTAAAATTTTAAACTTAGAACATCAACATATATAATAGTAATAATAATAACCACCACCTCTAAAGCTTGTAATCTCAACCTATATCTATGAGACTCGGCCATTAGGCAAGCCAGGCTTGCCGAAGGTTGGGCGGCTTATTCAGACTGTGAAGCGGGCTTGGGACCAGTGGGGCTTATGAAATTTCTATTTTTTCATAGCCAAATCCGTCCGTTAACTCGTCAGGCCACCTGCCCAATGTCCAGAGCTCGTTGTTCATAAATGAAGGGCTTGGACTTTGGATTCCCTCCAATCCTGTTAACTTAATTCAGTATAAGTTCACCTCTTTTCTAAGCAAAGCTCCGTATCTTTTTCATTTTTTTTTTAAAATTTAATTATACTTCATGAAACTCACATGAAGCTAACAGGTGACAATGGCGACTGCCGCAGCATCGGCGGCCGTGTTCGCCGGCATAGCTATGCTCGCATCTGCAGCGGTGGCGGGGTTGTCGACGGCCGGTTTGTCGCCGAAATGCGTGGTGGGGGCGATGCTGTGGAGGTCGGCGGCGTTCAAGAAGAGGGTCGAGGAGGAAGGTGAGAGGTGGAGGGAGAAGGCCATGGAGAAAATGGAGGCTGTGGAGAACTCCATTTCTGAATTGGAGGTTTGGAGCCACAGAGTTTTTCGCAGAATGTTGAACACTAGAGTCTTCCTTCTCAATGCTCAAACCCCCGCACTTGAAAATGAGAGATTTTAAAGGTTAGTTTAGCTCAAAAGATGTTCTTTTATACGTTTGATTAATTATTATTATTATTTTTAATTTTGTTTAATATTATTTTATAATAATATTGAAGTAGTTAAGTGTCAAAATAGTTTCTGACTATTTACAGTTGATCTTATCCTAGAGTTTATAGAAGTGTCAAAATAGTTTCTGACTATATACAGTTGTTCTTATACTAGAGTTTATAGAAGTGTCAAAATAGTTTCTGATTATTTTAAAATAAATTCTAATAGTCTTCAACAGAGATTATTTTATATTTTTATAAACTCTAAGATTATAAAACGAGCCTACGAGTAAATAGTATGAGATTATTTCAACATTTAACTCAATGCTATAATAATTCTAATGTTGCATAACATTGAGCAAAATATTGCTGAATTGACGCCTTACCTTGCTTTTACTCTTTCAAAACAATGGGGAGCTCAGGAGGAATACAGTTTGGAAAGTGATGAGAAATAAAAATACCAAACGTGCGTATTTACTATGCTCGGCTATCTTGATCTGGCCAAAAATTGTTATAGAAAATAAACTTACCTTTTATTTTCAAGCTTTAACTTTTAGAAGTACAAAAATGTAAAATTTTACAAATTAAAGAAGACTAAAATTTAAATAACATTGACGAAGAAATCCTCCTACAAAGAACTGTGGCATCATTTTCTGGAAAGAGTTTACTCTATCGTGACTGGCTGTCCGCACATACGACCACTCATATGTAATATTTTCTCCCATTTTCAGGATGGAGTGGATTGAGAGCTCTCATGTTAAAGAAATTATGTTAAGAAATTATGTTAGACATTTCCATCCATAAATAACCTATGATTTTACTTTAGTATTAGATTAACTATGTAAGACATTTTGTTAAATAACCTATACTCTTACTTTTTGTTTTCATATTAATCATAGACTTCTTTTTAATTCCTAGTTGATTGAATATTGGTATCAATGCTTGTATTTATGATGATTCACTCAAAAGTAAAAGAATTTATTATTTAATTCCTTTTTTCTTTGAGCATGTTAATAGTGAAGATTACTTATTAATAGTACTAAAATAGAAAAAGGAAAAATTACGTACATAGCGCACAATTCTTATGTATTTAAAGATCTGACACCTAAACTTTCATATTTACATGTATAGCACGTTGGTGCTTTAAACCTATGCATGAAAGGTTTATTTCACTTTTAAAAAGTGATAATAAGGTTATTTTTTATGTGATATATTAAATATTTGAGTGTTATTCTTGTGAATAAAAAAGCTTGGGCATGAGATATGTAAATACATGAGAATTGTGTGCTTATGTATGAAAATGCCCCTAAAAATTATCCCACAAGATTATGCCAAATTCATGAACTTCTGTGTAGTATAAGATTTCTTTTGCTTCTAATAAATCTAATGAATCAATATGCTACAAAAATAAAAATTCAAGCTAGTGTAAAAATTATTATAAACTTAACACTTGTTATCTAAATATTTCTCACCTTAACATCTAAGCATATTATAAGAATATCCGATTGTTAGAATCTTGTTGAGCTTCTACTGCTCACTTTAAACTTTTTTCTCTAAAAGTTATCAACTAATGTTCACATGTTGTTACTTTCTATCAATCGGATGAAGAGAATCCATATATTCTATATCTAGAGTTTGTGCCTCTTTCAAAATAGATCTATGTAATCCTCGGTCAAATGCATCTTTGTGTTCTACTATTTGCATTACTTTTATATATAATTGTAAGAGATTGGTTGAAATCGTCAACCTTCCTTGCCTTCTTAATTATGTATAAGATGGTAAAGTATTAGTCATTATAGCCTTTATCTTCTTCTACACCTCCTTCTACTACCTTCATCCCCATTGTCATTTGAGTGAACGACTAACTCAACTTGCTCTTCTCCTCTTCTTGCTTCTCTTTATATGTAGAATTTAGGAATTTGAATTTCTATTTTAACATTGTTTGAATATTCTCTAGTTTAATTAGGTTACTGCTCAAATCTTATATAATAATATAAGATAATTTTAATTTTTCACAATAGAACATTGATTAACTCACAAGTAATAATGTCTGTGCATCATTTCAAACTTCTCCTAAAAAAACAGAGTGCTAACTTCCTTCCTTATAACTTTAGCTAAGATCGACTGCGACGGAATATATATAATAGACTTATAGTTATTCACCATATTATCTAAACACTTTAGTGTACAATAAATAATTATTAACATATGAGAAATTGATAATTATTTTTCTACTACTCGCATCACTCTTATATACATTTATAAGAGATTGATTGATATCCTTAATCTTCTAAATTATATATAAGATGAAAATGAATTGTCCTTATGGCCTCCATCTTCCCCTACACCTCCTACTTTTGTTACACTTCATCCCTAATGTCATTTGAGTGAACAACTAACACACTAGCAACCATCAACTTGCTCTCCTCTTGCTCCTCTTATGTATATATAAAATCATGAACAAGGCTAAGAATTCCAATTTATAATTCAATCCTGTTTGCATATTCTCTAGCCTAATTAGGTAACTCTCAAATCCTATAGAATAACAAAAAGACTACTTCGATATTTCATGATAGAAAATTGATTAACTCACGACTAACTCTATTTCTACCTCATCCCATACTTTCTCATAAAAAGGAGGGTATTAACTTTCTTGCTGATAACTTGTGCTAAGATTGTTTGTGCTTGTGTATATATAATGGACTTATAAATATTCTCCATATCATATCAACAATTTAGTATACAATAAATAATCATCATCAATGAATAAACTAGGAATTGATAATCTACCATATAAATATTTTTCCTTTATTTATTTGAGATGATGACATGCACTAATATCTTTATCCATCAATGATAATAAGAATCTTTGTTGGTAAGCAACTTGTTTCTCTTCCAACTCGAAATATCTAGTCATATCTCCTTAAGAAACACAATACATCTCCTCCTTATAAAGAAGTATAATCTAAACTATTAAATATCTTCTCCAATCTCAAACCCAATGATCAACTCAAACTCAACAATGCTTAATATTATGCAATTGCCAATAATGTTGAATGTACACAATAAAGTATTTTTCACCCTTATCATCACAATCCATCCTCACTAATAACTAATGAATCAAGGGCCCAAAGAACTATAATTCGGGATTAAAGACACAAAGAGCTAATTTAAGGGGATGTCTGACTTTGACATAGAAATTATCAACCTCAAATTGCCTAGCAATCTTCTTTGTCGCACTTCTAGCTTAATATTTAACCCAAACAATACATGCCTCTTTACAGGTGTTATTAAATTAGGCAGCAATATACTTTGCAAAATAGTTAAATGGGACACTTCCAAAAAATACAACGAGGGAACTTGGTAAAAACTTTAACATGGTTGAAGTATTTTTAAATAATGACCATAATATTTAAACCTCGATCAAACATTTTTTTGCTCTGATAAAAAAATATTAAAGCTATATTCAAATCATATTCAAACCTCATTTTAACCACATACAAATAATGCTCGACACATGTTCAAACTTTAATTGAACTATAATCAAAATATGTTCTAACTATAATAATAAATCATGTTTAAACTTCATTCAAACCTTTCTTGAATTTAGTTTGAACTTCTTTCTAACCTGACCCGTTATCTGAATCTTCTTCGAATAAAGTTTAAAGGTTGTTCAAACTTTGTCCGAATTTGTTTAAAATACTAAAAAAGTATTTGAAGCATCCTCGAATATTGATCAAACATATATTGAGCATTAATTGAAATTTATTAACTAATACAAATAAGATTCAATCAAAGCTTGATCATGATTGGAAAAAAAGGTTTTTTTTTATGATTAAAGTCTTTCTAGGTTATGGCTTAATAAGTTTGAAGAATCTTTTTTCAAGTCGTTAATTTGAATACATTCATATAGTCACATTGGCTTGTGAATGAACATTCTACCATCTTAAGACCAGTATTCTTTTAAAATTGAAATTTAAATGTAAGATGTATAATTATGAATTTTAAATGTAAAAAAAATATAATTATTTAATAATCATGAATTTTCCTTAAAATTAATTGTGGGTTCTCGGTCGGCGATATGAACTTGAATTCTAAGCATATTTGGGGAGTTGGACTCGTCAGTGACTACTTTATGCACCCCAATCGAGAACAGAGTTTTCACTTCTACTACAAATTATATTTAAATCAAGCTAAAAGACAGTAAATTCAATAATAAAAAAATATATAAAGAAATGGACAATAAATTATGGAGATAATTACATGCGGTTCATCCAAAACATTGATAGTAATAAATTAATCAATTTTTTGAGCTACGGATAGATATATTTATACGCGTCACAATTAAATTATATATATATATATATAAGTTTGAGTTTTACGATAGAGAGAATTTGATAAAAGGGTGAAAGAAGGGAAAAATTATTCCATACGGACTGATGCATGCGGTGTCCGATCCTGGCCGTAAATCACGGTGATCTACGGTCAGGATCGGACACCGCATGTAAAGATGTATTCTCTACACGCGGTATCTATACATAATAATTTCTCTGAAACAAAGTCATTATTTGGTAAATAACAAGTTTCTGATTGTTATCACATAAAGAAAAATCAAATCATTTATTATATATAATGACTCCTGCACAGCATTTAGATCACTTTTCAACATGGGGGGGAAACGGAACCTTCCCTTCGCATGCTTTAAATCTCTTCGTCTTCTACTTTTGCTCCGTTTCCACTGCTCGCCTCCTACTCATTTATAGTGGTTCTATCTTCTGATTCCCATCTATTGAGTTCTGCAATGATTCCAGGAACTAGCCTGTGCACGGAGACTGCTGAGGATATGTTCTGCTTCCCATCGGAGGAAGAATTGGTCGCTGAACAAACGCGTGAACATGGTATTCCCGATATGTTCGGTTACTCAACAACGATGGCATCCGACTCCCTCTGCGCTGGGTTCGGGGAACGGTTTTATCATCCACTCGCACCCGAAGAGAATACATTCCAATTGCAAGGAATGTTCCCTGCCGCCGCACTTAATTTCGCAAAGCTCAAAGCAAGAATAGAAGCCAGAAATGGAGATACTGATGCACTGAATGAGATCTTTGCGAGAATGTGGGGACTAGACTCAGGCATGGTGTCAAAAATACCACCCTTACACGTAGAGGGGACGGACTCACAGCCCAAGCACCATCGACCCTATCCATGGGAGAAGTTATTACGCGATGTACTAGCGTCGAAGTCGTCAGCATCTTCATCGGGACGATATTCGTCCCTCGGGTTCGCAATGGCTTCACGAAATGATGATCACCTGATAGACGAAGTGATCAAGACGGTGGGTGAAGACTTGTCATCATCCATGAAACGTATGGCTGACATCGTGTCTCGAGAGGCATCGCAGGCGGTGACGCGAACTATTGATCTATTGTTAGAGCACAATAAAGAGCGCGCCAAATCAGCGAACCAAGACGCTGAAGATTACGCCAATCCACTACGGTCTCGGATTTCTAATGCATACGAGGTCCCGAGATATAAGGCAGTAGGGAGTTCCATCAATCGCGGGATTTCGTCCGAATACATGGGGCCAGGCCACTATGCTGATATAACTAGTCATGAAAGGCCACGACGGTTCCGCGAGGCTCCAACGTGCATGCGACTGGACATAGCGGAAGTGTTGAATCTAGCTGCGTACATAACGACTATATCTTCAGCCACGAAGCCGTACGTATATATGCTGATGAGAAGAGTACAGGATCCACATGACGGATTCTCGCCAAAGCTTGCTGTAAGATTGAGGAGGGAGTATCTATATGACAGTCCAGCAGTAAGGGAACTTGGTCCATATTTGCTAGGCCATGCATTCATCAGCAACGTCGATTTGATCTTACACAATATGACCACGCTCTCACATTGGGCTGATATGGCGGTGAAAGAATCTATGTGGGTCTACCTCAATCGAAGATGTCGGATTCGAAGGTTGTGTCCAGTGTATGGTGGGTGGAAAGACTTGATCATCGCATTACGCGAATTGCCTGAAGGATGGACGATATACTACTGGATGAGGATATCAATGGGTAAATTTCATCACAAGACATCAAATGGCATACTGGCGCCTATTGCTGCAGGAGAGGCAGTTGATCTACTGACAATGATCATTAAGGGGGTAAGATCACGGGCAAAATACTGGTCTGCATATTATACCGCAGAGTATAAACTAATTAAAGACAGAATTGCTTTCGAAAATGATCGCATTAGGCGACACGACCCTGAACAACCTGATCCAGATGAAATTCAACGCATAGGGCGATATATACCGCCACATCAGAGGCCACTAACTGATCTCGAACACATGTACGAAGCGGATGAGGTGTTTGGTCGTTCTGGCTCGTATGGAGCCGAGCAATATCAATGCATGGTCGAAATGCAAGCCAAATCAAAATTCTTCAATGCAGTACAAGCTTTTGCTCATGGTTCGCATGTTGTCATCGGAGTCAGCAATGAAAACATGTGCGAGATGCTAGTAGAATTCTATCAAGCGAGATGGTACAGCCTGCATAAACGAATTAAGAAAGCCAAATCACGTGGCGGGGTGTTTACACTTGGATCGGTGCAACTACCAGATCACCCATGGGGCGATTTAGTACAAGACTTACCCGAATCCTACCATGAAATGCTGCAATTCACTATGAATCTTGATCCTGCAGGTTGGACTCTACCTCCTGACTATCTTCAATCTATATTCCGGAAGGGGATATCTGAGCTTTGGTCTGACATTTGTACCGAGATAGAACAAGTGATGGCTTATCTTTATGAGATTGAATCGGGTGCGGTAGAAATACAGGACGAGATTCTAGCCGGAGAATCCTCTGTCACATGCTTCCTTGACATTAGTACCACCAATTGAAATCCCAGTGCAAGGATATATGCCTCCTTATCAAAAATCGTACATCTTGTAGCACTACTATAGTCTAATTAGTAGATTATAATGGCGGCAACAGTCATGCTATATATATATATATATATATATATGAAAAGATGGATTTCGTTTTTTTTTTAATCTTAACTTTCGATCGATTAGATTTGGGGTTTGGAATTAGACAGCTTTGGTTCACCGTCTTGTCTTATCTGGAATGATGAACATATACAATCCATTTGTTTGGGTGATAGTTCGATAGGCCTAGCACATCATGTTTAGAGCAATCATTTCCAATCATTGTTTAGCAAATCACATGAATAAGTGGAAGACAGGGATTACTAAGGTGTCTTTTCTTTATTTAAAATATAATTAATAAATGTATAAATTATATAGAATTTCTCTAAAATTCTTTAAACATCAAAGAAAAGCCCTGGAAATGAAAAGAAAAATACTCCAAATTCAGAAAAAATGAAGGAAAAAAATATGGAATAGAAATTGACAATGATTAGTAAAATATTTTGATAATTAAATAAACTCTTTCAATCACAAATAAACAAAATAAATTTAGAAAAATTACAAGAAACTCAGAGAATGTTTAAGTTAAATCTTATGAACCTCCTGTAATTTTCTTTAGGAAAGTGTAAATTTTATCAATAAATGACAATGAAAACAAATAAAAAATAAATTAAAACTATAGATAATAAAATTATAAATAACATTTTAAATAAAATAAAATCAGAACATTCATTTTATTCTCTAAAATAGTAAAATATTCTTTTGCCAATAAATGAACCATTAAAAGTAGTATATCTATATTTTACTTTTAAACTATCATAATCAATCAAATTGAAATGAAAATGAGTTGGTTAGTGCCCCAATAAAATAAAAATCAATTGTCACTCATGTATGAAGGTTTTATGAACAAAAGCTCAATCTGTAAAATTGCCTTTGTTGAGCAAAAAAAAACTAAAAGAAATCAAGAGGTCATCCGCTTAAACTTAGAAATCACACTAAAATTATTCCTAGTTGATTAAAAAATTGGCAAAAAAAGAATCATAATTAATTTGCCCTATACACACTCAATACATTCATAAAATATATCTGTATATATTCACAGTTTTGTTTGTTAAATTTTTTTTCAGATGTAAGGTCCCGTGTAATTCATGAAGTCATAAAATGAGGGAGAGAACTCGTAAGATGAGTGGAGAAGGTGAAAAGAGAGAGTTTCAACTTGTGTATGTCACGCCTAATGTTTTCTTGTCTTTCATCCTTTTTTTAGAAGAAATAAGGACCCTCTCATTTATATGCATCATAGGGTATATATCATTATTATTGTAGGGCTACAAAAAAAAAAGATAAAGAAATAATATATTATAGGTCGTACTATATGAGATTTGTTGTTGAAAAATATATCATCGTGGGTGTGTTGCACCTCATATATGGGCATAGACAATGATTGGTTGGAGCCACCTTGAAGTGTCGTTAAATGGACTTGACGGTGAATCTGGACTTGTGCAAGCAAGCTTGGCAGAAAAGCTTGATATATATAGGCAAGCTCGACGGAGAAGCATGAGAAGTAAGGCCGAGCTTGGCGGAAGAGCTTGATAAGTATGAACGAGCTCGACACTGGAGCCCGTGAGATCCTCTTGAGAAGTAATCGTAGCTATCACTTTGATATACGTGATTGGCGACCATAAGCTCAACGTGCACAATATTATTTAGATGCCACAAAAAGGTTCTGAGGAAGCCATATTTAATACGCCCGATGACCCATTTAATTGTGGCTTAAATGGGCTTACTTGTTAAATGTACAATCTCCATATTTCATTTGTTTATAGTTATTGAACGAGTGTTCTCATGATTTAAGCCCAATTTAAGATGTTCATCTTGTCATATATATATATATATATGCTTATTTATTTAATAGGACTCGTCAAAGGCTATTATACGAGGAGTACCACCTCCTTAAGGCCAATTGTGTCAGGGGAGATTTGAAACCCCGACCTGAGGGTCTTACACCGTGAATGTCAACCAACAGGCCCATATATATATTATATATATATATCACATAACTCTTTTCTATTTACATATTTATCTTTGAAATTAACATTTATAGCACCTTCATTTCATAAAACTATGAATGAAAATGTATATTCACCTTTTTTTTAATAAATTATAGTGATAATTATGTGTGATATTAAGTATTTGAATGTTATGTTATGCATGTAAATATGAATGTTTAGATGTTGCATAAGTTAATGCATGAGGTATGTATGCAAGTGCTCCTATATTTTAATGTAATAATGACATCAAAATAAAAAAATATGAAATTTTATATGTTAGGTATATAAATATATTAAAATGGTGTGATATGTATGTAAAATTTTTAGGGAAATGTGCAGACATTCACATAATTTTAATTTTTTTAATAATTATTCAAAGATAATAATGGTAATATTTTGATTTGATGTTAATGATTTGAGTGTTAAGTATTGGACTATTAAAAATGTGTCAGCACGGATCAAGAGGAGATCCAACGGTCTAGAAAAAGGAAAGTGCAATACAGGAGGGTCAGCCGACAGAAGTCTATGAGGTCCACTTATCTGATCAATAATAGTCGTCTGAGCCAAAGACGAAGGTCGAAGATGCCAAGAGAAGAACAAAGAGATTAACTGAATGATTCAAATCTAAACCAATCAGTCTAAAACAAGACAGATAAGCATCCGAGCTTACCACTACAAGAAAGTCGACCGAAGGCATTGACCTGCCGTCCTATAGATTCAATCTGAGCTTATCACTAACCATCCCACAGACGCCCCCAACACTTCTCATCAAAACAGATAATTGACAGTCCAAAACAACATCATAATCATCCCAATGGCTCCCCTCATCTAGGAATGAACTATCTATTGGGTTACCGCGAT